TTTACCATGTTGGCAAGGCTGGTCTCAAACTCCTGACCTCATGTGATCTGCCTACCTTGGCCTCCCAAAGTGCTGGGATTACAGGCATGAGCCACTGGGCTCAGCCCATTTGTAGTTAGTTAATTTTTGATTTCTGGTTGCTTTTAAGGCTTTTCTTTGGCTGGGCATGGTGGCTCATGCCTGTAATCCCAGTACTTTGGGAGGCGGAGGAAGAAGGATTACTTGAGCCTGGGAGACCAACCTGGGCAGTGTAGTGAGATCCTGTCTCTACAAAAAAATACAAAAAATTAGCTGGGCATGGTGTCACAAACCTGTGGTCCCATTTACTTGGGAGGCTGAGATGGGAGGTTGGCTTGAGCCCAGGAAGTTGAGGTTGCAGTGAGCCATGATTGTGCCACTGCACTCAGCCTGGGTGACAAAGCAAGACCCTGTCTCACAAAAAAAAAAAAAAAAAAAAAAAATAGAGAAAAGAATTTGCCTATTTGTGGTTTGTGTGTGCTTATTTATTCTGAAAGCTCTTAACTTTCTTCAGTTTTAGAAACGTATTCACCAATATCTCTTATAATATTACTTTGTCTCTTATTCTTTTGTTCCTTTCCTTCCAAAACTCCTGTTGTTGGGACTTCTGTCTTTAATTTCTTTTAACTTCTCATTTATATTTATAATTTTTTTTGTATCTCATGGCTTCTTTCTAGGTATTTTCTTTAGATCTCTCTTATAACGCACTGATTATCTTTCAGTTATGTTTAATCTGCTTTTTGGCCTGTTTAGTAGTTAGTAGTCATAGGTACATACTTTTTACCTCTGTAAGCCATACTTACTTCTTTTCTATAACTGCCTGTTTTTTATGGTGTCATCCTCTTTCATTGTGGCTTCTGTTTCACTTTGGACATATAAAAATGGGGAAAGCCTTTCAGAAGGTAACATGTTGAAAAAGGTTGAGCCCTTGGACTGTCAGATCTTCTGTAATCCAGCCATGGCTTTCTTCACCAATCTTTTTTTTTTTTTTGAGACGGAGTTTCGCTCATGTTACCCAGGCTGGAGTGCAATGGCGCGATCTCGGCTCACCGCAACCTCCGCCTCCCGGGTTCAGGCAATTCTCCTGCCCCAGCCTCCTGAGTCGCTGGGATTACAGGCACGCGCCGCCATGCCCAGCTAATTTTTTGTATTTTTAGTAGAGACGGGGTTTCACCATGTTGACCAGGATGGTCTCGATCTCTTGACCTCGTGATCCACCCGCCTCGGCCTCCCAAAGTGCTGGGATTACAGGCTTGAGCCACCGCGCCCGGCCTTTCTTCACCAATCTTATTTCCCAGCATGCTTCCACTGGATATACCCTGTGCTTCAGCATAGCAACTTGTACGTCATTCTTTCAGTACTTTCATGCCTTCTTCCCATCCCCAGTCTGGGCTGGATGTCTCTCCTCTGCCTCGTTAAATTCTGTGTATACTTCTGTCATAGTACTGTATAACATAACACTTGACTCATCACTGTCTTTTCCTAGGCTGACTCTTTGGAGGCATGGTCTCCATCTTTTATTTCTTTCCCATCATTAGTATGTTAGTAGCATGTAGTTATTCAGTTATTCTGTCATAGGTTGAAAAATAAATATACAAGTTGACCGATGTCATAAATGTGCACTGAAATATGCTAAGACTGTAACTTTTTGGCCTTGCTGTTTTTTTTGATAATCGCATGATCTGTGTATATAAACATGAGGCATATAACACTGGGGAATTATGGATTCTTACTCCTTGAAGAATACTAAATACTAAAACTTGTTTAGTATTCAAGAATACTAAAACTTGTTTTAGTATTAGCCATCATTTCTTTTATGAGAGCTAGATATTGTCTTATTACTTTTCTGGTCGTCACTTTACACTTATCAATAGAAAACTGTCTTTTCCTATTAGTGTGCATATTATTTTGATTTTTTTGTTTTCTTCTATATAGAAGTTGTTCTAGAATTTCAAGAGATCCTTGAATATTAGAATGTACAAACATAAAGAGTAATCAATTTTTAAATTTCTTTAGATACACATAAGCAACATAATCAAGAAAATGGTTATAGAGGAGACAGTGATACCTTGGGAGCCCTACATGATCTAGCCAACAGGTAAAACAAATTTGATTTTCTTTTGTTAAACATTTAAAAATTTTTTATTTTATAAAAAATAGAGATGAAACGGGGTGCAGTGTCTTTCTCCTGTAATCCCAGTACTTTGGGAGGCCAAGGTAGGAAGATTGCTTGAACCCAGGAGTTCTAGACCAGTCTAGGACTAGCAAGACCCTGTCTGTACTAAAAGAAAAGACAAACGGTTTGATCTTTCTAGGTTGCAGAGGCTAGTCTTTAACTCTTGGCCTCAAGAGATCCTCCTGCTTCAGCCTCCCTAAGTGTTGGAATTATGGTCATAACCCCCTGTGCCTGGCCCACATTTGATTTTTATATTGATGTTTTTCCTATATTAATTTTATTTCCATCTTAAACCAGTTTTCAAACTTACTTACTCTGGAATAATGCATAATTTTGCCCAGTTTGTTTGTTTATTTATTTATGAATGAATGAATGAATGAATGAATGAATGAATAATAGGGAGCCTGCTCTTGTTGCCCAGGCTGGGGTGCAATGGTGCAGTCTTGGCTCACTGCAACCTCTGCCTCTTGGGTTCAAGCAGTTCTCCTCCTGGTTCAAGCTACCTCCCAAGTAGCTGGGATTACAAGTGCCCACCACCATGCTCAGCTAATTTTTGTATTTTTAGTAGAGACGGAGTTCTACCATGTTGGGCAGGCTGGTCTCAAACTCCTGATCGCAGGCGATCTGCCCACCTTGGCCTCCCGAAGTGCTGTGATTAGAGATGTGAGCCACTGTGCCAAGCTGATTTTGCCCTTTAACCAGACTATTTTTCTACCATAGACCCACATTTTCAGAAAAGGTCCAACATGGCAGCGGGGGCGGGCTGGGAGGTGGGACGGACCAAGGCTTCCGTGTGTTGCCGCCGCTGCCACCTTAGCCTCATCCTCGTTACTCTTGGGGTTTGGGGGTTCTGTAGCTGGCGTTACCAGCGCGAGGTGAAGGGAGGTGACGGAGCGTGAGTGCGCGCGTGGGGGTCCCGTCAGTCCCAGCAGTTCCCCTCGTGCAGGGTGGGCGGCGAGGGTCTTCAGCAGTCGGGAGAGGCCCTTGACGGCGCCATGTCGGCGGGCGGCCCATGCCCAGCAGCAGCCGGAGGGGACCCAGGGGGCGCCTCCTGCTCCGTGGGTGTCTCCCTCGGCGGGGTATTCATGTTCCGGTGGCTGGAGGTGCTGGAGAAGGAATTCGACAAAGCATTTGTGGATGTGGATCTGCTCCTGGGCAAGATCGATCCCGACCAGGCAGACATTTCTTATGAGGGGCGGCAGATGACGACCAGCCTGAGCTCCTGCTTTGCACAGCTTTGCCACAAAGCCCAGACTGTGTCTCAAATCAACCACAAGCTGGAGGCACAGTTGGTGGACCTGAAGTCTGAACTGACAGAAACCCAAGCAGAGAAAGTTGTTTTGGAGAAAGAAGTACATGATCAACTTTTACAGCTGCACTCTATTCAGCTTCAGCTTCATGCTAAAACTGGTCAAAGTGTTGACTCTGGTACCATTAAGGCAAAATTGGAAAGAGAGCTTGAGGCAAATAAAAAAGAAAAAATGAAAGAAGCGCAACTTGAAGCTGAAGTAAAATTGTTGAGAAAAGAGAATGAAGCCCTTCGTAGACATATAGATGTTCTCCAGGCTGAAGTATATGGGGCAAGACTGGCTGCCAAGTACTTGGATAAGGAACTGGCAGGAAGAGTCCAACAAATACAATTGCCAGGACAAGATATGAAGGGACCTGCTCATGATAAGCGTTGGAACCAACTGGAAGCTGAAATACATTTGCATCGTCACAAAACTGTGATCAGAGCCTGCAGAGGCCGTAATGACTTGAAACAACCATTGCAAGCACCACCAGGCCATGATCAAGATTCCCTAAAGAAAAGCCAAGGTGTTGGTCCAATTAGAAAAGTTCTCCTCCTTAAGGAAGATGATGAAGGCCTTGGCATTTCGATTACAGGTGGGAAAGAACATGGTGTTCCAGTCCTGATCTCTGAGATCCATCCGGGGCAACCTGCTGATACATGTGGAAGGCTGCATGTTGGGGATGCTATTTTGGCAGTCAATGGAGTTAACCTAAGGGATACAAAGCATAAAGAAGCTGTAACCATTTTTTCCCAGCAGAGAAGAGAGTGAATTTGAAGTAGTTTATGTGGCCCCTGAAGTGGATTCTGATGATGAAAACGTAGAGTATGAAGATGAGAGTGGACATCGTTACCGTTTGTACCTTGATGAGTTAGAAGGAGGTGGTAATCCTGGTGCTAGTTGCAAAGACACAAGCGGGGATGTCAAAGTATTACAAGGATTTAATAAGAAGGCAGTAACAGACGCACATGAAAATGGAGACCTGGGCAATGCAAGTGAAACTCCACTAGATGACAGTGCTTCAAAATTTGATGATCTGCACAGTCTGTATCATACTAAATCTTATTAAATTGACTGTATCTCCAGACAAGATTATTAGTCAGACTATTTTGAATTTGGGGCACTGGGGAAGATGGTGACAAAGACTATACAAAATCAGGGGAGGCTGTCTGTTGCCTAAATGAAAGACAGGTACTTCAGGGCTTCATGTGAACAATTCTAAATGCATAAAACCCCCTGTTTTTTTGTGGTAGGCTACAATTAGCTATTGCATGTAAGCAATTTTGATTTTCTTGAAATTCTAAGCACCAAAGCATGTGTTTCCCAAAGGGTATTACTGGGCTCTTAAGTACCAAATGAAACCCTACGGTTTTATTTGGTTCCTTTTCCCTCTAGTAGGAGGACAGTGCTAATTGGAATTTTATAAGAAATACCCTTTAAAATACAGAGAGTACATGAATTCATATTACATATTCTAGAATGTTAACTGTGGTGTTTCAGAAAACAGAACTTGACTCAAATGAATTGTAGAAATATAGACGACAATTTTTTTTAACTGAAAGAAAGGTTTTAGACTTAAAAAAAAATTTGTTGTGCATCCTGAAATCTAAATCAATACTTAATGATCATTTATTGTAATGAGTTTGCATTTTAGCTTTATTCAATGCAGTACGAAATAGTTTTCTTTAAGCAATCCTTTATTAATCAATCCTGCACTAGAAATAGTTTCTCAAATGTTACTAAACATTTGACTTTCTTGGTTTTTAAAAGAAATGCAGATGAGTATAAAACATCTGTTCTCAATTATGTTGATCTGTGTGCACGGTATTGGAGCATTTACTCATTCATGTTGAGTCTCAAATGCTTGTTTTCTGGGATCCACAAAAGACAGTGTTATACAATTTGAGTTGTTCATAGTTTGTCTTGTGATAGTTCTGGCATTTAAAGATAAACTTTTCTGGTAGTAAAAGTTCAGATTTATTATTATGTCATGAAACACAATACATTCAAATCAAACAGCCGTTTTCTTTCTAAGTACATGATTTCAAATCATCTAAAATGTGGTCAAGATGAGATGAAGACATTTTTACACAGTAATTGTTTTGGTTGGGTTTTCATGTGTCAGTTTATGTTTGACTAAAGATGTCTTCATATGCAGGTTTATAAATTTGTAAGGTCCCTTGTCCCATGATTAAATATGGAGTGCCTCCTCTCTGATCTAATATTCTGCAGGTCATTGTAACCGGCTGAGCAAAGTCAAAATGTTGCATTAAAGAGGTGATAGTTTTGCCAATATCACTGTTTTAAAGGATGTACAGTTAAGGGAATATTAAGTGGGAGAAAGCCTACAAGGCTTTAGAGTATTATCAGTATCTTCATTTCTGGTATTCAGATGTTACGTGACAAAACACTTTTTTTTGTCTTTCCCATATGCACTATATGTTTGCTCAAGGGTAAATCCATAAAATGTATATACTTTATTTTGTGATTTTGCTATTTATAATGTTTTAACTGTTGCTCATTTATGGTTTGTTTTGGGTGGTGTTCATCTGTATATCACCATGTTAATTTCTAATAGAAGTGCACTTCATAGTGTATATTGTTACTGATATTAAAATACTTTATAGCATTGCCTCTGAGCAAAAGCTAGTTTTTAATTGTACAAATGAATAATCAAGTTACATGTTATTGTTTGCTTTTGACAGGGTAGGGCTCTTAAAAGAAAGAAAGGAAAAAAAAAAAAAACTTGTTTTTTCCTTATGTATCTCCCTATGCCAAACACATACCTCCCATGCATGACATGAGATCTGCAAACTGGATTTTAGCCACTGTATTTATTTAGTAAAAACAATTTCCCATTGTAGCTGACCTGAAAACCTTTTTGCTGTGACATGAAACCATGTTATTCTTATCTTCTTAAAGCACAGCCTGGGTTGGAATGGCCATGGTATTTTTTTCAGAGAATATCCTTTATCTACTATGACTGAATCCTTAGGAAATGTAAGCTAGAACCTTTGATTTTCAAGAGCTACCTAATAAGTGTAGGTTTTTTTTTTTTTTTTTTCTAGAACTTAAAGTTGGAATTTTTATGAGGTCACTGTATAATTTGAAGGATTGTATGAAACAGTTAGACATAAATTCCTTTTAAGGAATGATAAGTAGAATGAAAAGTTCCCAAGTAGTTTAAAACTCCACAGGTCAGTTTCCTTTACATTCCTGCTTTACTGGGGTTTGTAAGCTTACGGTAGAGCACTGTTGCTCAGATGCTACTGTGAACTTCCTATCAGGTGTTAGAAAGTAACTAGTTAAAAGTTTATTTTAGAATATATGGTCTTTGGGGATGAACTAAGAATTAGTTATTAGTTCCAAAGGACTGAGGACCAGTTTTCTTATTTTCACATTTATAGGAAAGAAATTCATATGTCCCTGAAGCTTCTAGGACAAAACCAAACAACTAAGGAGGGAACTCGTACAAAGCCATTTCATTGAGAAAGGGACAGAAGGAGAAATATACACGTGTACACAGACAGAATGGTTGAGAAAATGTTTTTATAGAATGTGAGGGTTAGGCTGGGCGCGGTGGCTCAAGCCTGTAATCCCAGCACTTTGGGAGGCTGAGGCGGGTGGATCACGAGGTCAAGAGATCGAGACCATCCTGGTCAACATGGTGAAACCCCGTCTCTACTAAAACTACAAAAAATTAGCTGGGCATGGTGGTGCATGCCTGTAATCCCAGCTACTCAGGAGGCTGAGGCAGGAGAATTGCCTGAACCTAGGAGGCGGAGGTTGCGGTGAGCCGAGATCGCGCCATTGCACTCCAGCCTGGGTAACAAGAGCAAAACTCCATCTGCAAAAAAAAAAAAATAATAATGTGAGGGTTATATGGATGTGTGTATATATTTACACTTAACCTCTAAAATTCTCTTCTACAGTTCTTTGTTATGAATATGCTGGAAAAGCAACATTTTGGTAATGAGACTATTATTAAAATAGATTTAAGAAAGATGAAAATTTTGTGAGTCTTGATAATTATAACTCAACAGCTACCAAAAGTTAGCACAGCTTGTCTGTGGTGCTTTTTTCCCCCACAGAAAATTTTTTTACTGTATGCAGTGGACTTATTCTATTTTCATGTTTAGAAACAAAAAGGTTTCATGTGATTCATGTGTAAGATGCACAGTATTTGACATCCTGCTTATGTAATCCCTATTCCATCTATCCAGTCTTATACTTATGGTTGGCCTCAAATCTATTGCATTTAATGACAATGTTTTATTTATTTATTTTTTTTTTGAGACGGAGTTTCGCTCTTGTTACCCAGGCTGGAGTGCAATGGCGCGATCTTGGCTCACCGCAACCTCCGCCTCCTGGGTTCAGGCAATTCTCCTGCCTCAGCCTCCTGAGCAGCTGGGACTACAGGCACGCGCCACCATGCCCAGCTAATTTTTTGTATTTTTAGTAGAGACGGGGTTTCACCATGTTGACCAGGATGGTCTTGATCTCTTGACCTCGTGATCCACCCGCCTCGGCCTCCCAAAGTGCTGGGATTACAGGCTTGAGCCACCGCGCCCGGCCGACAATGTTTTATATCTAGTTAATTTGAGTTTAATATTTTTTATTAGCCTGTAAATAAAGATGGCATCTTCTACATTAAAAAAAAAAAAGGTCCAACATTTATGGTACATGGGAGTTTTTTTCCCTTCTATTGTTTATCTAAATATTGGGTTTCATTGGGATTATTTGGAAATTATCTAATGCAAGTTTGGGAGTTTGTGCCTTTTTATGTGTGTGAACTTTTTTGAAACCACTCTATTGACAAGTCCAAATGTTTGGGGGCCTTTGAGGTAATCTTGTCCAGATAATTTTCAGGCTGTATCCTTTAATGCCATTTTTTGCTGTGGATGAATCTAGCATAGCCTGTGGCTGGTCCAACTCTTTCCCACTTTAGCCTGGGCAACTTGCTCTTTTATATATATTATGTATTGGGGTGTTTGGTAAACTATTTGATAAGAAGAGTTCCATGCTTAAAAAAAATTTGGAGAACTTATGATTTACTGTAACCCCCAGATTTAACATATGAAAAAACTGAACTTTGTTCTAACTTTCTTCAGTAATATTCCTGTTTTCCTTATTGCCTTTTTTCCCTCTCTATTATCCCATTTTGTACAGATTACAGATTATATAAGCAAAAGAAAAATCTGTGAACTATATGTATGTAATCTGATTGGGGAGCATATTCTTTATTGAAATTAAACATTATTAAGTAGCAATCAAACACAAACTTTATTAGTTTTTTTTTTATTGTTTTTTGACCTAAATCGGTGTCTTTCATTCCTGCTTCCTTAAGTAGATGAGAGACAGATGAAAATAAAATACTTAGGAAAATTATAAAAGAAAATCCTAAATTTTAATTGAATTGAAGCACTCATCATTCTATATACTCTTAGTAAGTTAATAAGCTGTAACACTATAACCAGAGTCAAAACTGTTTTTGTGAAATTGAGTTATTGGTAGTTCTACAGTAATCTTCCAGTTCATAGCTGTCAGGACTAGTTGTGGAAGAACTATGTTTTTAGCCTTACCTGGATTTGATGCTAGTTTTTTGAGTTCCTAAAGAAAAATAATGAAATCTTCTGTGAGGACCTGGCATTGAAGAGACAGTAAAGTTACTGGCCTATGTATTTTACACTCAAATTACAATTGTTTTTATGGCAGGCTGGGGGAGGGTATGGTTGGTGCTTCCCAAACTCAATTATGTTTTTGGTTTGTCTTCCCTTGAGAGAGCAAATTAAATATTTGATTAAGGTATTTTGTTGGACTAAATATTGATGAGGATAATAGATTAATACATATAGCAGATTTTATTTGTGAACTCCATTAAACCCCAAGATTCTTATTTTTGGGGGGAGGGCCAGATACATGCCTGTAATCCCAGCACTTTGGGAGGCCAAGGTGGGTGGCTCACCTGAGGTCAGGAGTTCGAGACCAGCCTGACCAACATGGTGAAAAGCCGTCTCTACTACAAATATAAAAAATTAGCTGGTGTGGTGGCACATGCCTGTAATCCCAGCTACTTGGGAGGCTGAGACAGGAGAATTGCTTGAACTTGGGAGGTGGAGGTTGCAGTGAGGTAAGGTTGCACCATTGCACTCCTGCCTGGATAACAAGAGCAAAACTCCATCTGAGAAAAAAAAAAAAATTATTTGGATTATTTGTCCTGAAGAATTTTGTGCCAAGATACACTATCAGAATTCTATAGGAGGCCAGGCGTGGTGGCTAACGCCTGTAATCCCAGCACTTTGGGAGGCTGAGGTGGGCGGATCACGAGGTCAGGAGATTGAGACCATCCTGGCCAACATGGTGAAACCCCGTCTCTACTAAAAATACAAAAATTAGCCGGGCGTGGTGACGTGTGACTGTGGTCCCAGCTACTCGGGAGGCTGAGGCAGAAGAATCACTTGAACTCAGGAGGTGGATGTTGCAGTGAGCCAAGATCACGCCATTGCACTCTAGCCTGGCAACAGAGCAAGACTCCGTCTCCAAAAAAAAAGAATTCTATAGGAGTCAGAAATGCCACTCCTAAGAATGTAGTTCAAAAGGAAACTCATAATATAGGAGAAAGAAGCTATATTAAATATACTTTGATTTCTACGTCTGTCTTCTTCAAAGCTTCTGGATCTTTTATTATAAACTCCTGATTATTTTAATTATGGATTTTGAGATACTGACAGGAGGTAGGGGAAGGCCTGGTGGTGAGGGATCAGTGCTTAACGGGATGTGAACGATTATTATTGCTAAATAGTGGAATAGAACAGAAGGCCTGTGAAAAGCTAAGTTACTGGGATGTGGAAGTAGTCTGCTCAAAATTCTTCTCTGTTAAAGGTAGTTAAATGTTCCATCAGTAATATGTAACACAGATGGACTGTACTTATGAAAGAAAATAATACCTTTTTTGCATGTAGTTCAGCAGTTACACTATTTTATATCATTAACAATGTAGTTAACTGGGAAATTCATATGTAGATATGATCAATATAACTATTCAGTTAAAAAAACATGGAAAGAATGTAGTTTTTAGGCAGTGTTACTGGCCCTATCACATGTAGTTGTCATTCACGGATACCAAAATATATGTAGTCTTTTCCATAAATCTCATTGCTGACCCTTTTTTTGAGAGGGGTCTTGCTCTGCCACCCAGGCAGGAGTACAGTGGTGCAATCACAGCTCACCGCAGCCTTGACCTCCTGGGCTTAAGTGATCCTCCCGCCTTAGCTACCCAAGTAGCTAGGAGTATAGGCATGCGCCTCCATACCCAGCTAATTAAAAAAAAATTTTTTTTTGTAGAGATGAGTTCTCTTTATGTTGCCCAGGCTGATCTCAAACTTCTGAGCTCAAGTGATCCTCCCCTGTCAGCTTCCCAACATGCTAGGATTTCAGATGTGGGCCACTGTGCCTGGCTTTCATTTCTGGCTCCAATCGGAGTGAGCTCATGGAGGCTGCATTATACTTGAAACCAGAATTCAGCAATTGGTGATGCTTTTGGTGTATACTCTGAAAGTTACCTTTGCAATGGCTTTCTGTGTGTGTGAGTGTTCTATGATATTTCTAATGGTAACAATGCTGTTGTTCTAGACATCTAACTTCTATGTTTTCTCCCATACCATGTTTCAAAGATAAGAAGGGCAGTGTGATCTTGCATACATGTCAGCTAAACATCATTTGTGTTAGAAATTGAATTCTAGTCTTACATCTTTTCCTTTTTATAGTTCCTATTTTTATTTTTCTCCTAATTATTGATATAACAACAACAGCAAATAAAAATGAGAAATAATTGGTTAAAATTTCTGAGGAATCACTTGTAACCTTTTTTCCCCCAAGTTCTTACCTAGGCCTTGTATATCATCATATATATATTTAGCTCTAGCCGGGCACAGTGACCCACGCCTGTAATCCCAGCACTTTGGGATGCTGAAGCAGGCAGATCACCTGAGGTCAGGAGTTCAAGACCAGCCTGGCCAACATGGTAAAACCCCGTCTCTACTAAAATCACAAAAATTAGCCGAGTGTGCTGGTGTGTGCCTGTAGTCCCAGCTACTCAGGAGGCTGAGGCAGGAGAATTGCTTGAACCCATTGAACCCAGGAGGTGGAGGTTGCAGTGAGCTGGGATCCCGCCACTGTACTCCAGCCTGGACAACAGAGTGAGAATCTGTCTCAAAAGGAAAAAAAAAATAGCTCTAATCAAAGCATGGATACAATCTAATCAAATTTAAAAATGCAAAATTCTAAAGTACAAAATTTTAAAACATTAACATAGTATAAACAGTTGTGATTTTTTTTTCTTGGCTGTGTGTATGTCTAAATAACATTCGCCAATTTTCATTGATAATAGCTTTGTAACACTGCATTTATTTTTAGACTTAATTTCTTCTCATTTTTATTTCTTTACTACTATAAAAGGTATGTTCCTTTTTTTTTTTTAACTCTGTGCTGTTCCATTAGGATAAATTTCCACAATGCGATCACTATCCTTTCTTCTATTTTGGTACAGTGCTAGGATTTCATGGGCCTCAATCTTGGCATAGCAAAAGGATGAAGTATAAAGACTGAGCCAGGGCTGCTTTAAAGTTGTCTTAGATTGTGATGTTAACAGGTTTAATAGCATATTACCAGTTCAAAAATGAGAGAGGGGAGGGTATAGAATGTTTCCATTGTTCTCTGCTACAAGGTTCCACAAGAATCATTCAAATGGAAACACTTGTCACTTATAGAACCCCATTCTCAAGTGGCATTTACTCATCGATTCCATCAGTCCATCAAGCAGTTAACATGTATGTATTGCACTACCAACCACTGTGTTAGCCCCTGGGAATAGGCTTAGGGAAAGACATAGCCTTTGTCCTTATCTTCTTGCAGTGGTGGTATCTTAGTGGCATTGGTCCATAGATTGGTGGCTCTGTTTCAGGGGGCTTTTTGATGATTTTAATGTAAAATTTCCCCCAAAATCTAGTAGGTGATGAATCTTTGACTTTGATACCTGGATCATATCTTGTCAATGCTAAGTTGAAGCTTGAGCAATTGCAGTGATTTTGAATTAGGTTTGGATAGGCAAAGATTCTAAGAGTGCATGTTTGAAAAAGTTTGAAAATTATATTTACTATGATATAAAATATTTGCAATGCTATTAATTTTGTACTTCTAGTTATAAGAAGACAGGAAAGCACCAACATGCTGTTGAAAGTGGTCTTGGTGGTAATCCTGTCTGTTGTATTAACTAGAGTAGAAAAACTTCAGGTTTTTGCATTTTAAAGGTTTTTAAAGATCAAAGTAAAAAAGTTACCATTTCTTTGAAGATTTTAAAATTTAATAACATTTTACAATTAGCATGAAAAGATGCATAAAGTTTTAATATTTATCCAAAAGGGCAAGGGAATAAAAAGATTAAGAAATACAATGTGGCAAACAAAAACTCTAACCTATGACGTTACTGCGACGTGTAACACATTTGCTACAGAGCAAAATGTAGCATATGATTTTGGACATGAAGCTTCAAAAGAATCTGAAAAATAAGTCTCTGGCTGGGCCGGTCATGGTGCCTGATGCCTGTAATCCCAGCACTTTGGGAGGCCCAGGCGGGTGGACCACCTGAGGTCTGAAGTTCGAGACCAGCTTGGCCAATGTGGAGAAACCCCGTCTCTACTAAAAATAGAAAATTGGCTGGGCTTGGTGGCGCATGTCTGGAATCCTAGCTACTCAGGAGGCTGAGGCAGGAGAATAGCTTGAACCCAGGAGGCGGAGGTTGCGGTGAGGTGAAATTGCGCCATTGCACTCCAGCCTAGGCAATAAGAGCAAAACTCCATCTCAGAAAAAAAAAAGCTTGCTACAAAGAAACGGTGATTTGGACCCTGTGACATTGTAATAATGCAATTCTAGTTAACTGAATCTGTTTTTAACCTGTGTTCAAGTTTTGGAGTGTTAACATTAAGTCATTTAACTCTTTCAAATGAAAATACTGTTGACTTGGTATGTGGTAAGTAAAGTCTTTATAATTGGGAGGCTGATACACAAATTGGGCTGAAATACTGCTCTACTTGTCACCATGCCTCCCTAGAATAAACTAACTGCCTTTTGATGACCGGGACGAATTGAGTGAAATCGTAACGGACAGATACGGGGCAGACAGTTTTTTTAGAATAGTCAGACTCGTAAAGGGAATGGAATTCCTTCCTCCTTATAACTTGGATTTGTTGTCTTTTTTCCTTTTAGCCCTGCCTCTTTCTTGTTGCAGTCAGTTTTGCCATCAGATAGGAACAATGTTACACTACTTGAAAAGGTATATTTTAAAATAATTCTCAATTAATTGTGACCATACTAAACTATAAAATATTACT